TCTCAGGTGAGCGTTGTTATCCATGAGACTCTCATTCCTAATATTTTGTTTTAACGAGGCCCGATCTAGTTGAAAATTACGAAAACGGAATGATAAAAAATTTTAATATTTGGAAATATTTTTGAATGTATTATGCTAAGAAAAATTAGAATGAATTTTTATTACCTTGCCTTTATTATAGTCAAATGGGGGCACTGTCAAGATATGGACCATTTTTTGTGTTTTTATACACAGTAACATAGTAAAACCCTCCAATAAACAAAGAAATTGAAAATTAAAAAAAAAATACATGATGAAAATTTTTGTTTTTCACACATATCATGCAATTTTTATTCTTCTTATAAAAATGCAGGTAGGTTAAGGTTACAACCAAATATTCTACTTGACTATAAGATATGACGTCATAGTAAGCTATATGACGTGAAGTTTAGAGATAATGTTAATTTCTTATAATCGATATCTAAGATTGATTTAAGGTCGTAAAATTTAATCAAAATATCCAGAGGCATAATACAAACAGAATTTTGTCGTTTTTGGGTCTCTGTAGTTATCACAGGGGGTAAATTTTATACCGAACCCGTGACGTCATAACTGTTGATCATGCAGTAGCAGAGTGAAAGTGAAACGTACCGAGAATTCATGTAAACAAACACAAGAAATCGGAGTTTAAAAGCATTTAGGATTAATATCATGTGTGATTCAAGTGGGAATAAAGCTCATGAATAAGGTATGGTAATATACTTCAACAATTTCTTCGTGAAATTAAAGCAGGGAGGGTGTTTACTTGCCGATCAGCCTTTCCTCTGTCGTTCGTAACAAATAAGATGCAAAAGTTCAACACTACGCCGCACAATTTGAAACTTTATTTTTGTTTCTATCTAAAATTCTTATTCTATTGTTTATGGAAAGTGCTGCTAGAATCGTATGGTTTACGGGAATTAATGCATTTTTTCGATGTTATTAACAAAATGTAATTTTGGGAAGGTTTCGTCAGAAAGTGTTGAATAATTATTTCTGTGATAGGACAGTAGGATTCTAGCAGCAGTTTTTTTTAGTAATGGTAAAGAGATGTTTTTACATAATTATTATTACAAATTGAAATTGATTATCCACGGGGTAGTGTTGAACTTTTCATTTTTTCATTAAGGCATAATTTCTAGTTATAGACGTCACGTGGTGACGTCGCGGTGAAGTGCTTCATGTAGTATAAGTCCCATTGAAGTCTATAGAATGCATAATTGTAACAAAAGTTTTATGCTTGACTTTTCCGATTTATTAGTGTTACATAATTATAAAAAAGTCTTAATTCGCCGAATTCTGGTCCATGTGCTGCCTTAACATACCCGCGAATGAAAAGAAAATTGAAGGTAGCCTTTATTGCAGGGAAAAGTTGGCATATCGAAATACAAAATTAGCACTTATTTTATCCAACTAGACATGAAATAAGTCGCCATGGGTGTACAAAACATCAACAAACGATTGTAATACTGTATTAGTTTCTAAAAAATAGATAATTCTTACATTTTGAAAAATTTTCTCTTCATGCTTTCTTTTTTTTTTAATTTATACGCGATGTTGTTTTACGTGGAAAAGGGGGAGGGGGGGGGGTAAAAGGCGAAAAATGACGAATTTTACTAATATCATGTATTATATGGAAAAATAATATATATCGGGGGTTGCATTTAAATGATTCAAATACTGATTTTTTTTAAATCAAGCTAATTCATGCATATTTAAGTCCTCAGTAAAAAAGGTGTGTATAAATACTTCAACATGTTCAAAAAGAAAGACTAAAATCGTTTACTTTCGGTTGCAGTGTTTGTTTTTTTAACTCACAAATTGAAATAAAACAAGGTAAAATTAATGAATATGTACCAAGAAATTGATACCTCAAAATAAATCATTTTCCAAAGTTGTTTATCAATTAAAAAATATTTTTTAAAAAAAACCATGTAAATAATAGAAATACCATCTTTCAACATGTGCAGTCTATAGAGTTGCCAGGTATGCAGGATCGGCGAAATATTTTAGCGCAATTTGACATCATTTTAATTGTGACGTTATTGTGTTCAATTGTGACGGCAGTCAAAGGTACTGTGACGTGCCTGAGTCGACGCTGCGTTAAAACATATGTGCAGTTCAACTAGATCAGGCCTCGTTAAAATAACTCTTTATTAAGACAAGACAAATTTAAATTTTAAGAGAAAAAACTAGATTTCTGACATTTTGTTGTAAAATAACATAACAACAAAACTACAGAAAAAGAAAGTAGACAGAAGGATATAGAAGCTCTATCCAAATCAAAATGAAACAATACAGGGCAATATGACAATCCCCCATGTACTTCTTCGTAGTCACCAGATCTTAAGTCAGTATCTCGACTAAAACACTACCGATATTTCTTTTTAACAAATCTGCAATTGGCGTGTGTTGACAACTAGAGTCTTTTGCCATCACTTAACTTAGATTGCAAGAAGGCGGAGTTAAAAATTACTAGTAGTGTGATATATATTGGTCACAGAAAAGTGTTGGTTTGCTCAAAATACACTATGGTTTCGAACAAAGAAAATTTTGTTTATAGATGTTCAGCTATCATGGTACAACTTTGACAGTCTTTTCTTTACCTACATGTATAAGTATTTACACTGTAGCATTATTTGGCAGGTAAGCTTTCTGCATGATTAAAAAAAAACAACTTCTGACCCACTAAACAGATTTAGTACGCTAACCCTGGATTTTTGGTCATATCTTTACCAAAACTGGCCTCGGTGTCAAAGGAACAAACTTAAAGATAGTAATAACCTTGTCATATTCTATACAATTATTGAGGTTGTTTGGGGTCAATAAGATGATTGAACCACCTAAGGCGCAAACAATTCACCGATCCCGAGACGAGAGAAAAGGTGATTAGTGTACTTTAAAAGTCGCTTAATCATGTTTTCAACTTTTATAAAAGCAAAACAAAAATGTTTTATTATATTATTAAACGAAAAAAGCTATTCATTTCCTTTTCAGGACCAGCATTTCAAATAACATTTTATTCTTAAAAAAAGGTAAAAATTTACATTCAGTATTAAGGATTTTTATTTTTTGGGGTGTTGGTGTTCTTGCACTGTATATTTTCTACATTGCTGGACCTTTGCCAATCAGAAACAGTTAGAGGGAGAAATAATTCAATCATATTAAAATGAAAGAATTTCCTTCAGTTCACATTCTTTTGATCCTTTATGAAATCGTTTTAAAACTCATGGAAGGGGCGTTTTGGATTTGGAGCAAAAAAACATCAATTCATCTTTTTCCTTGTTGTTTTTATGTTTTGAAGAAAATAAACCGAAGATCCTGAAAGTATTCAATGACGCATATGAAAAGGAAGAATGGGAATTTTTCAATTCAGTTTATTGCGAATTACTTCTAGCTAAGGTAATATTCTCGAGAAACTAACCTAAAAAAATCATCTTTGTTTGTTTTAAGTTTTCCAACTTCAACAAAAAAATTATCAGAAGCTATTATTTGTATTACAGCAATATTTGAGCAATTATCATAGTCTTCGTTTTCTTTTATATTGATCTGATGAGTTAAAAATCATTGTTAACGTTTGCAAGTTCCCCTAGAATTTTTTTGAATTTTTATATCATTATGTAAACAACATAACATAACAAAATCACGACCCTTTTTTTTGAAATAAAATTATAACAAAAGGATCCTTATCTTGATATATTCAACAAAACATAATTTAATTTTTCTGAATTTCTCCTCGTTTTCATTTTGTAGGCTGGATGTATTGTTATACCACGCAGTCACATGATGGAGGATTATACCGTTCTGTGGAAAGGAACATTGGCCCAACCGTTAAGAAAGTGTATTATGGCTTTTATCTACGAAGAAAACAGTCTGTTATAGTTATTGTAATAGACAACGTATTCTGCGACAAAAAGAAGACTACAACGTACAGGGGACTTCCGATTTTATATAAGCAATGGACAGCAATGACGGAAGAATCCGTTAAAACAAGGAACTACGAATGTAATGAAGATTCACCCATCTTTCATGATGATGTCCATGCAAAACTCCACGAATTTTTTATGCAAAATAGTGCAATATTATTATTAATGAAGTCACATTTTAATATCGAAATTATAAGTGCATCTCCATTCCGATCCATGGAAAACGGAAAAAGGATTCGAAAAGAAAACTGTATTTTGATCTACTGCACTATGAAGAATGTGATTCTTTTAGGAGAAACGTTCTTTGCTGAGAACCTAGGGGAATTTAGAATTGATGTCCGTGAAGGATTCTTTTATACAGACGCAAGAAGCATGGATGCTCCACTAGCACCGACAGATCGCCATCCAGAATTAAAGATCGGAGCAGAAATAAGCAGAAAAGGTCATTTTTACATATACTTGATTTATAACTGATCTAGAAATAGTTCAAAAATCAAGGTCTTTATAAGATAATCTTTATTCTCAATAACTTGAGTGATAACTAACTAAAATGATATTGTAAATGAAATATATGTATTCAATTTTTTATTTCATATTCTGATTCAAAAGAGAGAATTTTGTGGATGTCTGAATTGTATTTCTAGTAATTATAAGAAATTGTTTTCAAAGATAATTTTTTTCTCGAATATTAAAAAAGGTGATTTTTAAATATTCTACAAATATTGACTCGGCTTAACGTTGAGGTCAACATTTATTGTGTTAGCCTCCAAGGGATACATGTAAAATATGGCAAGAGTACCAAAATTTCACTCATTAGAATATTGCATTACTCTTAATCCCTATCGTTTATTAGCTTAAATTGAAAAAGATATATCAATTAAAAAACTCTAAATTAGGAATGTTTTAAGCAAAATATATATTAAAACAAATACAAATGTTCATGTTAAACAATATTTCACAGCTCTGCATAAACATATCTCTGCATATTTTATTGATGGTAATTTAGTTGGAACATTAGGGGGGTTCGTGAATTTTGGAGCCAGAGACGAAATAGGATTCATTACTTGTGCCCACATTATCCATGATGAGCCTGAGACTATGATTGAAAATGACACAAAAGTTGTACAACCAAGCTTTGGACTGTCTTGGGAAAATAACGTGTGCGGTGTTGTAATTAAGTCTGTGCATCCAAGAGGTTCCGATATAACTACAGTTGATGCGTCATTTGTGAAAGTAGACAGCTCGAGAAAACCAACTAGAATATCATTCACAGGACTGCGAAAAGACAAAATGGCAAAATTAAGTCAGTTCTTTTACATTTTTTGTATTTTTTAAACTTTAACACTTTATTAGTTTACAAGTGTAAGATTTATACGCTTGCATAGACATTTTTGGATACTTTTTTAGTTTTTGTTTATGCAGTATTTTCCTTTCTGTACAGATTTTTCTCCCGATGAAATATACGAAGGTAAAATTCTGGAGAACGCAGTACTTAACGCACCATGCTATAAATTTGGGGCAACAACAAATTTCACGAGTGGTAAACTGGAATCACGTTTGTTTAATGCGATTCATCTATCTGACTTCAGAGATCCTGGTCAGAATTCTGAATACCGATCAGTATATTGTTTCACGCATCTCGTCAGTATTTGCTGATCATGGAGACTCCGGGGCTTTTGTTTTCCAATGTGTGGAAAACAGCGGGAAGAAATCTCTCGTCTGCATTGGGATGGTCGTCGGAGGAACGTCTAATTTCAAAGTAGTTGTTACACTAATCAGAGAAGTACTCAATGCTCTTGACTTGCAAGACACAAAGAAATTTTTGCCGTTTTGATTACTAGTAAGGTGTATGACCACCATTTGCAACTTCACATGCTCTCAAGCGGGATCTCGTGGATTGGCATACATCTCGTATTCGTTTCCCAGGGATGCTTTTCCACTCTTCCTGTTGAGCCTGCGCTAATTCTGGCATGCACTCTTGCGGTTTGGCGTTGATGCCTTTTCAAGCTCGTCCCGCACGTATGTGATGGGAATAAGGTCGGTAGATCGAGTTAGGAATTCCAAGATGTTAACTCTATTAGTGTTTAAAACGTCGTTTATCAATGATATGGATACATGCCAAATGATTAAAACAAAATACATTGGCAAAATATTAGAAAATCAAAATTGTGAATTTGTTCACAGGACATTTTCTTATGGGCGTTTTTAAAGTCCCTGAGTAATTTGAATTTCTTTATTTCACAGTATTCAATTATTTGTTAAATAATATTTGAGCTTTTACACATATAATATTTGCAATATGATATTTAAAAATGTATGTTACCTTTACCTTGTGATTAATATGGCAAGAAATAAAAAAAAATGACAAAAATAAAAAATAAATAAAATTTTAGTCCGAATTTCCTCTCCATTGCCATACATTAACTTTTGTTTCTGTATATTTTCTTTGAATAATAAAATATTAAATTTTTTGATTGATTTTAAATTAAAACTTGCTTATTTTATCCATTTAAAACAATTTTTGATTTAACATATTATACTTTATAAAATTTCCTTTCTGATTTCTGAACCCCGAGTAAACGTCTTCCTTAAGCGCCTACTCAATCCTATGCATCTTTCAGATCCTCTCTGACCCTTCTATAGTAGCTGTGATGACGATACCTATTGTGATTCAGATACTAAGGAACAGCATAACTCCTGATTACAGTGTACATAAAAATTCTGCCAAACACTCCCATTAGCGTTACTGGTGATATGATAGAACATTTCTCACAGTTGAAAAATGTCTTATAGAAATAATATTGGATAAGGAATATATAGGATTAGCCAAAGAGCATAAGAAACTGATCCCAAAATGAACAAAAGTTCTCTATTATTGGCGGCCAGTTACAGTGTAGTATAATGTAGCCAAAGGAAGTTTTTAAATTAAATTATTTCAGTCCTGATATTTGATAGCGTATATTTGACAAGGGATCCAAGTGATACCCATGGCCCCTTCAAATACATGTTTGCAAAACCAAAAAAGTCACTTTCTATTTCTATACACATCAAGAAAAGCTTCCAGACTTTTTAATTATAAAAAAAACTCTACAATATCGAAATGTAAAGCCTCGAAACATAATTCTCCAATGTGTTCATGTTCTTCACCCTATAATTTTTTTTTTATTTCTTATTACAAGAGGGACAAAGTTTGATTTTCAAATGATACTTAATTTTTTTTAATGTTTAAAATTCTGTGGAGGATTATGCCGAGCATGAAAAAGGAGATCTTGTTTCTTTGTCATGTTCTTACGTTTCAATACTTTTTGTCGATTAAAAAAACATCTCAATAAGGCTGCAACATATCAAAACGTACTGATGATCAAGAATGTACTGGATCGACAAATAACTTCCAAATCCATACCGGACAGGAACATTTTTTCATTATCCTCTGTAAAGGTTCAGAATTACAGTCACAAAAGAATACATTTAATATTTTGAATTAAAGCAAACCAGTAATAAACATTAATATGAGGGCATATCTTATATAATAATTACCAGAGACAGTTATTTTCAATATGGACCGGTGGGCGTGTCTGAATATGAGGATTCAAGGTTGATAGAAGAGTACTGCTGTTCAATTTCTGATTATAGTTGTAGAGAATGATGGCATGCACTTGGCAACATGTTTCTACATATTTCTGCGATGGTATAGGGAGATTATGAACAGTAATCAACATTAATTGTCCATTGATACAATACAAATCAGTATGGAGAAGTAAGTGTCCTTGTCGACCGGCTATATTCACCGTGTTCTCATAGTCATTATCGAAAAAAGGGGAAAATCCGTACCCTTCCAGTGGGTAAAAAATTGCTTAACAATTAAAGTGAGAAATGTCTCTCAAAGTAGGATTTTTCCATATAAAAAAAATGGTAAACAAAAAAAAACATATCCTGGGTTAAAAGTAAATTGATACCTTAGTAAAGGGAAGATGACAATAGAAAAGTTGATGAACATCTTTGCTAAATTTGTTGAATTTTGGCATCCATTTCATCGGTGATTTTTTGTCCTAGTCGCCAAGGATATACTGGTAAGTCTACTTTAATAGATACCGGTATTTTCATGTCTGATAATTGTAATTTACCTGCTTAGGTAACTATGTGACTATGTGACACACATGGGTTTCTTTTCACATCAGATACACTGTGTTTCAGCTGATATTTCTTTGGGATTCTTTTAAAACAAGTTTTCAACATCTTTATTCAAGCTTCTTCGCCCTTATTTCTGATTCT